CCTTGGAAATCAAAATCTCCACTTTTAAGATACTATGATTTTTCTGCTTATCCAAATAATATTACTGTCAGGACTCAAACTTCATGGAAATGTTTTATTTTTAGTAGCAAACTTTTTTTTTCAGCTGGTATTCCCTTCATGTTTTAAAGCAATGCTTCTTAAATTTTAATGTACATAGAAATCATTTTATGATCTCAATAAAATGTAGATTTCAAATCACTAAAATGGGGGTGGTGGTGAGAGTGTGATGTCTGCATTCCTAACAGCTCCCAGATTATGCCAGTGTTGCTAGTCTTCAGATCATATTGTGAACAGCAAGATTTTATGTAGGCACATATATACAACTAGTCGACATTAAAAAAAGGGGAAAAAAGAAGCAATCCCTGAGGTGAATGGCAAATAAAATAAAGGATGAAAGTCTGATGAGTCCTCTAAGTTTTTCATAAATGAGCATAACAAGTTCCCTATCAACAATAAAGAAAATATACTTAACACTACCTCTTTATTCCTAAAACCCACTTAGTAACAGAAAAGAAGCAGACTTGGTCGGCTAACCAGCCAGCCAGCAGCTAAATCTACAGGAAAATGTTTTTAATGGTTTTTATTTATTCATTTATTTATTTGAGAGGCATAGATAAAGAAGAGACAGATGAAGACAGGGCTCCTATCTGCTGGTTCACCCTCCAAATGCTAGGAGTGAGGAATGCAATCCAGACCTGCCATGGGGGTGGCAGAGACCCAACCACTTGAGCAATCACCTGCTATTTCCCAAGGTGTGCATTAGCAGGAAGCTAGAATGGGAAGTGGAACTAGGACTTGACACCAGGCACTCAGATATGGGATACATCCCAACCAATGTCTTAACTCCTAGGCCAAATGCCTGCCCCTGAAAACTTTAAAATACCTACTTACACATAGATAATCTCACAAAATGTCAACCAGAACTTTTTCCTATTGCATCTGTTCTAGTGTCTTTTATTCCTTCTTTCAGACAGGGTTTCTCAAGCATCATTTGGAGACCAATGGTGGTACATGATGATCTACTAATTGGTCTACAGACAATGTGAAGAAAAAAGTAATACAAGTTTTGATCACCAACATTTCACAAATGTGAAAAGACTAAGTCTGACTTTCAAAGAAATCCTTTGAGGTTCTTAATTGCTGTTACATTCCACGAGTTACTCAAGCTCTAGAATAGTTAACACAGCACTGTTTCAGCTAACATACTTTTCATATCATGTGAGGCATTTACCTTTGTTAAATATATATTTTGTTGTTACTATCATAATGTGTTAAATGCTACACTTAGGGAAATCAATAAATGGCTGAAAAATGTTTACATGAGAAAAAGCCAAAAATATATTTAACCCAGAATGTCATAAATGATAATAGTATGATTTTACAGTAAAGACTATATGATCTATGGCCGGCGCCATGGCTCAATAGACTAAGCCTCCGCCTTGTGGTGCCGGCACACCGGGTTCTAGTCCCAGTGGGGGCACTGGATTCTGTCCTGATTGCCCCTCTTCCAGGCAGCTCTCTGCTGTGGCCCGGGACTGCAGTGGAGGATGGCCCAAGTCCTTGGGCCCTACACCCGCATGGGAGACCAGAAGCACCTGGCTCCTGGCTTCGGATCAGCGCGATGTGCCAGCTGCAGCGCGCCGGCCGCGGCGGCCATTGGAGGGTGAACCAACGGCAAAAGGAAGACCTTTCTCTCTCTCTCTCTCTGTCCACTCTGCCTGTCAAAAAAAAAAAAAAAAAAAAAAGACTATATGATCTTAGAATGGGCTGTGACCAGTACATTAGAAGTGATCAGCCTGCACTGAGACACACTTATTCCCAGTGAACTTTAATACATAGGGCAGAGAAGCTACTGAAGTGTTGACATCATTTTGACAAATTTGTTTATTGAGAGGCTGACAGAGGAAAATAGAGAAGAAAGCACACTCCCATCTACTGGCTCATTCCCCAAATGCCCACAATGCCCAAGGGTGGGTCTGGATGAAGTCAGGAACTGGGAACTCAATCCAGGTCTCTGATGTGGATAGCAGCCATCATGTGCAGTCTCCTAAGCTGGGAATCTGGGGAGAACCAGCAGATAGGAGCTAGCTACCTTGCTCTCCACCTCTCAAAAATAAAACAAAGAAAAACAACAAAACCATAAAGATAAAACTACAGTCAATGGTACTTCAATTTATTTTAACAAAACAGGTCTACCTATTATCAGCTGCAAAATAAATGACACAAATGTGCAGAGAGAAACAAAGCAAGCTATTGGCAAAATTTTATCATCAGATGACACTACTGGACAATACATAATACATGTACGAGACAGGAAGAACAATAACCATCAGATACATGTTCTTTAGTGTTTTACCTTAAGGCTGCATAAAACCACCAGTGAACAGACTATCAATCAATTCTTAGCATATACATTTGTATTATATAAATCAAGAAATGTTTAATTCTGGTTACCAATGGAATTATGGTATAGAGAGGAGATTCTTTTTCCTTTATCCAACGATTAGTTTTGAGACTTGACTTGTAAAGGAATACTGGGATTGCTAAGGCCAGACTGCACATTTAAAAGCCAATTGACACATGGCTTCACTGATAGACAATAGCTAGCATTTGACAACACATCCTCTATTTTTGAAGTAAGTGCTAAAGACTGCATGGAAAATTGGGAATATAATTCAAACTGCAGTCCATGAATGGGCATCTTCAGCTCGTTATATCAAGAAAGAAGCAAACACATTCTTTGCTAACAAAAACTATTCAAAAGAAGGATATACATTTTTTCATGACACTAATAAATGTCAGTGAACTATTTCTATGATTTCAAGAGACTAACTCAAGGGTCATATCATATACATACATATATATCATGTACATACATATACATTCATTATATTGGAATACAGTATAGTGAATATATTCCAGTATATCCAGTATACAGGAATACAGAATAGTGAATAGCTGAAACATATTACTTGAGGGTGAAATAACAATTCTTAAGGATAAAATATGAAGACCAAATTCTGATACACACAGCTTAACCAAAGAGTAGACTCTTTTGCAATATCTAGGTATTTTTTTCCTTGTAGAAAGGAATCAATGTATTATAAGATATACTTGAAACCACCTTCAATTATTGCACAAAATCCTAAAACGTATCTCCTAGAACTGAATTTAACCAAAAGGACATATCTACCCATTGTCATCGCTCAAAATGAAAAATTTAACTTTTCCACTGAAGATCATTCATTTGTGAACTTGGTGCTTGATTGAACATTGTATGCAGTTTTCACTGAGAATCCTTGCAATAATTTTTGTGTCCATTTATTTCAATGTCTAAATTATCTAAGAGAATTACCATAAATGTGCTGCCCTTTAAACAACCTATAACCTAAAGCTTGGGTTGTCTAATGTACTGGAAAGTAGAAAAGGAACTAGTTAAATATGAAACCTTGATTTTAGTGAGCCAGGTATCAATGTGGTCAAAGATTGCAGCAATAATTGCTTTTCCTGATGTTTAAATTATTTGAGTACTTTCTGATGTTCAAATGAAAACATTTTGGATTATTTGTTTGCATTTACTTCATTTGTCATCATGATATACATGAAGACCTATCATGTGATCCACAAATTCAAAATGTTTGAGAATATTACTTTCTCTGTTATACCATTTTCCTTTCATGAAAAGCTATTATTTTTTCCTAGACCTTGTGCTAGAGAAAAACAGGAAACTGAAAATTGTTTGCTGTTATTAATCTTCTTTCATTAAAAGGCATTTTATTACCCACATTTTCCTGCTCCATTTTAAAAACATGCTTCTGACTTTAAAATGTATAACACCTATTTAAAAAAATAATGGTAACTATTTCCAACTTTTCCTTCAATCCTATTCCTCCTGAAGCCATTCTTCCTGAACTCAAGCTGCCTTCCAATACCTCTTGGTTATAGCCAAGGGTGATAACTAAAAATATTTAACAACTAGCAGAGCATAAACAATAAAAAGAATGACATCAGGCCGGCGCCGCGGCTCACTAGGCTAATCCTCCACCTAGCGGCGCCGGCACACCGGGTTCTAGTCCCGGTCGGGGCGCCGGATTCTGTCCCGGTTGCCCCTCTTCCAGGCCAGCTCTCTGCTGTGGCCAGGGAGTGCAGTGGAGGATGGCCCAGGTGCTTGGGCCCTGCACCCCATGGGAGACCAGGAAAAGCACCTGGCTCCTGGCTCCTGCCATCGGATCAGCGCGGTGCGCCGGCTGCAGCACACCGGCCGCGGCGGCCATTGGAGGGTGAACCAACGGCAAAGGAAGACCTTTCTCTCTGTCTCTCTCTCTCTCACTGTCCACTCTGCCTGTCAAAAAAAAAAAAAGAATGACATCAGTTCATGAGTATTAGCCTTAGTTACAACTTCTTAAGCAGTCTGCTATCTGTTTTTTCCATGCTTGATCCATTCTCAAAGACATTTGGTTATTCCTTGCCTTCCAATTCCCATAAGAAGGACAGCAGTTTTCATGAAAGACAAACACATAAATTGGATACCAAAACTGAGCTTAACTTGGCAATTTAGTATGTCTTTAATTTCCCTTTTTTCCCCTCATCAAAAGAATTAAGGAAAAGTATTAGAACAGGCTACTGCTTTCTTTCTCCTAAACCAACTGCCTCTGGAGAATGAGGTTCTTTAAATGAGCTTTTTATTATAACTTTGCTATTTGATTATAACCACAAGTTAGATATGCAAGTTCTTTCTTTGTTCAACCAAATAAAAATAGTTAATACACAGACAAATGGATGGATTTGGGGCTATATCAAGGATATTGTAAACTGTCAGCAAAACAAATTAATGTCTCTGATGTTTAAAGAGGAAACAGAAAGGGAATAAAGAGACTCAAAAAAAAACCAGAGATGGGTCATTTTAAAATAAACTTGAGAACAGAGTTATGTATAATAACATCAAATGTTATCTGTGTTGTTTTAAAAGACTGTCTTACCCAACTTTGGAAAAACTATTAAGTATTCAGCATTGCACTGAGGACATGCCACTCTGGCTGTACTGTTTCCTCTTTGTTTTTCATCCACCCAGCGCTGTAGACAAGCCTGGTGAACCCATTTTGTAGATCCTCTGCATCTGCATGGTCTCACCCATTCAGCTGTTCTATCATCTTCATCAGTGGCAAAACATACCCAGCAGCTTCTGTAAATGAAAAGAGAAAATGATGTTTATCTTTGGGATTCCAGCCTTCTCTACACTGTAGCTCTCACTTAATGGGCTGATCTTTCTATGTTATGTTATAGTACCTCTGATCTACATAAAAAAAAAAATGAGACAAAACAACCAATAAATTTTCAGTAGTTTATTTTTTTCTGTTTTTCTTCATCTTTCTCTATAGGATGTTGTATTTTTGGAATTTTGTTTTTAATGTAGTTCTGCCATCTATCTAGTAATTTTTACCTTCTTTAATGTATCATAGTGCAAAGATGACCCTCAAGCTGCCTTTGTTTTGTAAGACCTAATAACTGAGAAGTAGTAAGCACAGAAATACTTCATGTGAAATTTGGTATTCTCCCCATTTCAACACCAACCTCTTCAACTTGAAAAAACAAAGTATTATCGCATGTGATTTCACACAGTCACATTCAATTTTCAACTGAGGGGAAAACCACCCCCTCATTTCTAGCTCTGCTAAAGCAAGACCATAAGACGACACGAAGAAATATTATGTATTTTTTAAAGATTTATTAAAGGCAGAGTTAAAGAGAGGCAAGGGCAGAGAGGAAGAGGAAGAGGGAAGAGAAAGAGAGAGACAGTCTTCAATCTGCTGGTTCACTCCTCAGGTGGCCACAGTGGCTGGTGCTGAGCAGATCTGAAGTCAGGAGCCAGGAGCTTCTTCTGGATCTCCCTACACATGTGCAGGGGCCCAAGGACTTGGGCCATCTTCCACTGCTTTTCCAGACCGTAGCAGACAGCTGGATCAGAAGTGGCGCAGCAGGGACTCGAACTGGCACCCATATGGGATACCTACACCACAGGCAGCGGCTTTACCTGCTATGCCACTGTGCTGGCCCCCCAAAAAATGCCTTTTATTAAAAAAAATATACACAATATAAAACTCATTACCTTATCCACTTTTAGATGTACGACTTGTGGCATTAAGTATATTAATAAAGTTGTATAAGTGCTAAGACTACCCATAGTATTACTGGGCTTTATTTACTTGAATTAAGAATGATACTCAGAGAAGAGACACAGGGAGAGATCTTCCATGTATTGGTTTACTTCCCAAATGTCCCCAATAGTCAGAGCTAGGCCAAGCCAAAACCAGGAGCCAGGAACTTCATCAGGGTCTTTCATATGGATGGGTGGCAGGGGTCCCACTACTTGAACCATCATCTGCTGCCCTCCCAGGTACATTAGTAGAAAGCTGGATCAGAAGTGGACAGCCAGGACTAGAAATGACATTCCTAGATGGAATGCAGGTCTGGCCTCCCAAGTGGCTATGTTACAATGCCAATGCTACCTCCCCTATTGGGTTTTTAACTTAGAATTTTTGCATAAAATCCCATTTGGTAAGTTTACTAGCAAATAGGTTGGTTAGTTAAAGTTTTATGTTAAGATTTATGTTTTTGAAAGGCAAAGTGACAGAGGGAGAGTTCTTCCCTCCACTGGTTCACTACCCTAAATGGTTGCAATGACTAGGTAGAAGTCAGGAGCCTGGAACTCCATTCCTGTCTCCCATGTTGGGGGCAGGGGTCCAAGTACCTGAGACATCTTCCTGCTGCTTTCTCAGGTGCAATATCAAGGAGCTGAATTGGAAGTGGAGCAGCCAGGACTTGAACTGGTGCTCACATTGGATGCCAGTGTCATAGGTTGTGACTTAACCTGCTATGTCACAAGGTATTGTTAATACATACTCTTCCTCACAACCAAGGTAATTTTGTAAATGTAAAGGTACACGTCTAGGAAAGGGATACAACTTTTTGGCTACAAAACATAGGTAAAATGTCTAAAAACCTTCTAGGTTCCTGTGTCTTATTTCAACAGAACATATATGTAGGTAATGATAGCTACACTAGCATAATTAATCAGTATTAAGGTGAATCAAATTTTAAATCAAGCCAATTTCAGCCATCAGGAAAAAAAAATAAAAATATAACTATAATTAAAACATGCCTATTCAGCTCTTACTAACCAAACCAACTGAAATAGCTACTACTCATCTGTTTTTCACCTACAGAAATAGTAATTTTGTATTAATGGAAATACATGTGTAATTCCTCATAAATTCTAGATAAGTACAGGTTTATTTCTCTGACATTTTACTGTGAAAAATCTGAAAAACTGTTCTGGGACCTCTGTGGTGGACTAACAAGTTAAGCTGCTGCCTGTGACTGTGGCATCCTGTATCAGAGTGCTGGTTAGTGTATGAGTTACTCTACTTCTGATGCAGCCCTCTACCAATGCCCCTGAGGAAGCAGTGGATGATGGCTCAAGTACTCAGCCCCTCCTACCAACATGGGAGACCTAGCTGGAGCTTCTGGCTTCAGCCTACGCAGCACTGGCCGTTGCAGGAGTTTGGGGAATAAACCAGCAGATGGAAGATATCTATGTCATTCTGCTTTACAAATAAAGAAATCTTAAACCCTTCAGTGAATATCCAAATATACAACATGTACATTCTACAAATCTCATTTTGCTATATTTGCTTTATTACATATTTATTAATCAATCTTATTTTTTTATGCATATTAAAGATATAGGCACTGGTATATCTCACCCCTAAATACTTATACAGCACAGGCTTACTTTTAAGATGATATTTACATATAAAGCATGAACTTTCAGATTTTTAATAATTTCAGGGGCCGGCACTGTGGCTCAATGGGTTAAAGCCTCAGCCTGCGGCCGGCGCCGCGGCTCACTAGGCTAATCCTCCGTCTTGCGGCGCCGGCACACCGGGTTCTAGTCCCGGTCGGGGCGCCGGATTCTGTCCCGGTTGCCCCTCTTCCAGGCCAGCCCTCTGCTGTGGCCAGGGAGTGCAGTGGAGGATGGCCCAAGTCCTTGGGCCCTGCACCCCGTGGGAGACCAGGATAAGTACCTGGCTCCTGCCATCGGATCAGCACGGTGCACCGGCCGCAGCGTGCCGGCCACGGCGCCCATTGGAGCGTGAACCAACGGCAAAGGAAGACCTTTCTCTCTGTCTCTCTCTCTCTCACTGTCCACTCTGCCTATCAAAAAAAAAAAAAAAAAAAAAAAAGCCTCAGCCTGCAGCACTGGCATCCCATATGGGCGCTGGTTCAAGTTCCGGCTGCTCCACTTTTTTTTTTTTTTTTTTTTTTTTGGACAGGCAGAGTGGATAGTGAGAGAGAGACAGAGAGAAAGGTCTTCCTTTTGCCGTTGGTTCACCCTCCAATGGCTGCCAAGCTGGCGCGCTGCGGCCGGCGCACCACGCTGATCCGAAGGCAGGAGCCAGGTGCTTCTCCTGGTCTCCCATGGGGTGCAGGGCCCAAGCACTTGGGCCATCCTTCACTGCCTTCCCGGGCCATAGCAGAGAGCTGGCCTGGAAGAGGGGCAACCAGGACAGAATCCGGCGCCCCGACAGAGACTAGAACCCGGTGTGCTGGCGCCGCTAGGTGGAGGATTAGCCTATTGAACCGCGGCGCCGGCCTGCTCCACTTCTGATCCAGCTCTCTGCTGTGGCCTGGGAAGGCAGTAGAAGATGGCCCAACTCCTTGGACCCCTGCACCTGCGTGGGAGACCTGGAAGAAGCTACTGGCTCCTAACTTCGGATCAGCTCAGCTCTGGCTGTTGCGGTCATTTGGGGAGTGAGCCAGTGGAATGGAAGACCTCTTTCTCTCTCTCTGCCTCTCCTTTCTCTGTGTAACTCTTTCAAATAAATAAAAAATAATTATTTAAAAAAAAAATTCACAACTGTGGTAGATAATGATTTATAGAGAGACATTACTAGGAGTTAAACATTATTTTGCAGTATCATCAAATAATTATAATTTTGTTTGAGTCATAATGATATTGTATAAGAGCATACAAATTTAGATTTTAAAGCTAGTGGTCATTAGAGATTAGCTGAAATGACCTTAGGGAGTAATACTAAGAAAGCTTCATATAAGGGGTCAGTGCTGTGGCACAGTGGGTTAACGCCCTAGCCTGAAGCACCGGCATCCCATATGGAAGCCGGTTCGAGTCCCGGCTGCTTCACTTCCTATCCAGCTCCCTGCTGTGGCCTGAGAAAGCAGCAGAAGATGGCCCAAGTCCTTGGGTCCCTAAACCGTGTGGGAGACCCGGAAGAAGCTCCTGGCTTCGGATTGGCAAAGCTCTAGACGTTGCGGCCAAATGGGGAGTGACCCATCTGATGGAAGACCTCTCCCTCTCTCTCTCTGCCTCTCCTCTCTCTGTGTAACTCTGACTTTCAAACAAATAAATAAATATTTTTTAAAAAAAGCTTCATATGAATACTTTCAAGAAGCCTGCCTTATCTTTACCATCTATCAACTTATCACATCTATTTTATATTTATTCCAGCCATTAAAAAAATAAATCTGATGGTCATGAGATCAAATATACTGCCCACAATATGTAAACTTCTGACATAACACAAAAATAAGATGTAAATAAAAAAAGGTACATTCCAGGGACTGGCGCTGTGGTGTAGTGAGTAAAGCCACTGCCTGAAGCGCTGGCATCCCATATGGGCGCTGGTTCGAGTCCCGGCTGCTACACTTCTGATCCAGCTCTCTGCTGTGGCCTGGGAAAAGCAGTAGAAGATGGCCCAAGTCCTTGGGCCCCTGCACCCATGTGGGAGACCTGGAAGAATCTCCTGGTTCCTGGCTTCAGATTGGTCCAGCTCCAGCCGTTGTAGCCAATTGAGAAGTGAACCAGCAGATGGAAGACCTCTCTCTCTCCCTCTCTCCCTCTCTTCCTCTGTCTGTGTAACTCTGACTTTCAATTAAATAAAATAAATCTTTAAAAAAAAAAAAGTACATTCCAGAAATGTACCTTAACTTAAAAAAACTTTTTTAGAATTCATATGAGAGGCAGAGAAGGACTAAATGTTTTCAGTCCAAATGACTATACAAAAAATGTTAATTTGTAAAGAATTTATTAAGTATAAATTTAATTTATGGGGGCCGGTGCCGCGGCTCACCAGGCTAATCCTCCACCTTGCGGCGCTGGTACAC